CATAAATATTACACTTGCACCAACAAACTGGGCCCAATGCTGGCTAATCTTCTCAAGGCCTATACCTGTAATACCAACCCGATCAGATTATGTCTACCTAGCAAAGTCATTACCACAAACCCCTCCAAAATCGTGGACTTTGTAAGTTGTATCAAGCCCTGCAACCTCTCAGCACGGAGTCGGTGTATGACCTCTTCCAGGATATCCATCTCCCCAAATTCTCTACCCCAATGATCGATACATTAAACACTGATATTACCGTTCCAGAGGTCCTTGCAGCAATAAAAACACTCCAGATGCAAAAATCCCCTGGTCCTGACGGTTTCTCAGCACTTTGCTGTAAAAAATGTGTCAACTTCCTGGCCCCCCGATTTGACTAACTTTTTTAACCACTTATGCTCCTATTCAAATTTCCACTCATCATCCACGACAGCCCAAATAGTTATGATTCCAAAACCCAGAAAGGACCCTCAAGACCCTCACAACTTCAGACCTATTTAATTATTAAAAGTCGACATCAAAATATTGTCAAAAATCAGGGATGCTCTCTTTCCACGATACTTTTTGTTTTAGCCCTGGAACCCTTGTTTCATCTCATAAGATCCAACCTGGATATCAAAGGGGCCCCACTTGCCCACCAAACTTTCAAAGTTGGCGCATTTGCTGACAACCTACTACTAACTTTGACTGAACGGCACACCTCTTTAACTACCCTCTTCTCCATTCTAACTAGATTTTCCAATATATCAGGTCGAGTACTAAACGAAGACAAATCTTTAGCCCTTAATGTTTCTCTCCCCGCAGTGGACGTAAACTTGCTAAAACAAAATTACAATTTTACCTTGCCTCCTGCACATCTAGAATACCTGGGGATTAACCTTACGAACTCTTACTATACCTATTCCGCTCCATTAAATATTTCCTTACCATCTGTTCATCTGGATGGGTAGAATAAACACAGTAAAAATGACAATCCTCCCCAAGCTTTTCACACTCTCCCGGTCCCAATTCCCCCTTATGCCCTAAAATCTTTTCAAAATCACATTTTATGCTTTATCTTGGCCAACAAAAGATCTCGGGTCACAAAACACACCATGCTCACACACCGGAAATAGGGAGGCTTGGGGGTTCCTAACTTATCTAAGTATTATGTGGCGGCTCAGATCGCACTCAGATGCGTAACTTTAGGAGCGCTCTCCTGCCACCTGATCTCCCTCTCTTCGCTGTTATGGCTCCCTCGGAAATCCAGACCCACATATATCAGCCTTTTTATGGACGCACTCATTGGACATATGGGACTCCACAAAATACTCCAGTAGACTAATCTCTCCTCACTTACTGCTACTTCCCCTTGTGGGTAATCGTCTGTTCCCGTTTGGCCTCGAATCCCCTTCCTCATTTCATTAGTGGACCTCCCACAACTTCCATTGTATCCATTCATTCCTTGTGGGCTGCTCAGTTCACTTTTGGGCAGAAATAAGGGACAAACACCAGGCCCCCTCTACGGAACGTTTCTAGCTATCTTTAGCTCAAACATTCGGTAACTGCGGTTCTCATTAATTAACCTGACCACACAATTATCCCTGTTCGAACACATCTGCCTCCAGACGCCTCTCTCTCCTAAACTTATTTCAATCCTGTACTCACAATTCACTAACCTACAGATCCCCAACAACCACACTTATGTCTCCAGATGGGAAAGGGATCTCAAAGGCACTAAAGATCGTGCATGCTGGTTGCAGATATGGTCAACTTTGACCACGTGCTCCATCAATGTTCTCATAATGGAATCAGCCTTCAAATTAGTGACAAGATGGTATCTTGTCCCATCCTGCCTACCTTTTCTCCACCCATCAGCTCCCAACATTTGCTTTCTCGGCTGCAACACACCAGGCGATGTCTTACAGTGCATCCAGAAAGTATTCACAGCGCTTACATTTTGCCACATTTTGTTATGTTACAGCCTTATTCCAAAATGGATTAAATTCATTTTTTTCCTCAACATTCTACAAACAATACCCCATAATGACAATGTGAAAGAAGTTCGTTTTGAAATCTTTGCAATGTATTAAAAAATAAAAAACGAAAAAAAAAAACCACAAGTATTCACAGCCTTCGCTCAATACTTTGTTGAAGCATCTTTAGCACCAAATACAGCCTCAAGTCGTTTTGAGTATGATGCTACAAGCTTGGCACGGTTATTTTTGGATAATTTCTCCCATTCTTCTTTGCAATACCTGTGTGTCGGTGCACATCCATGTTCAGAACTCTCCAGAGATGTTCAATTGGGTTCAAGTCTGGGCTCTGGCTGGGCCACTCCAGGACATTCACAGAGTTGGCCTGTAGTCACTCTTTTGTTATGTGGGCTGTGTGCTTAGGGTCATTGTCTTGTTGAAAGATGAACCGTCGCCCCAGGTTTTCATCCAAGATGTTTCTGTACATTGCTGCATTCATCTTTCTTTTGATCCTGACTAGTTTCCCAGTTCCTGCCACTGAAAAACATCCCCACAGCATGATGCCACCATGCTTCACTGTATTGATGGTATTGGCCAGGTGGTGAGCGGTGCCTGGTTTCCTCCAGATATGACGCTTGGCATTCAGGCCAAAGTTTAATCTTTGTTTCATCAGGACAGAGAGTTTTTTTCCTCATGGTCTGAGAGTCCCTCAGGTTCCTTTTGGCAAACTCCAGGCAGGCTGCCATTTGCCTTTTACTGAGGAGTGGCTTCCGCCTGACCACTCTACCATACAGGCCTGATTGGAGTGCTGCAGAGATAGTTGTTCTTCTGGAAGGTTCTCCTCTCTCCACAGAGAAACATTGGAACTCTTTCAGAGTGACCATCAGGTGCTTGGTTACCTCCCTGACTATGGCCCTTCTCCCTCGATTTCTCATTTTGGCTGGACTGCCCGCTCTAGGAAGATTCCTGGTGGTTCCAAACTTCTTCCATTTACAGATGATGGAGGCCGCTGTGCTCATTGGGACCTTCACTTCTGCAGAAATTTTTCTATACCCTTCCCCAGATCTGTACCTTGATACAATCCTGTCTCAGAGGTCTATGGACAATTCCTTGGACTTCATGGCTTGGTTTGTGCTCTGACATGCACTGTTAACTTTGGGACCTTATATGGATAGGTTTTATACCTTTCCTAATCATGTCCAATTAACTGGATTTCCCACAGGTGGACTCCAATCAAGTTGTGGAAACATCTCAAGGATGATCAGTGGGAACAGGATGCACCAGAGTTCAATTTTGAGTGTCATGGCAAAGGTTGTGAATACTTATGTACATGTGTTTTTTTTCCGTTTTGTATTTTTAATAAATTGCAAAGTTTTCAAAACAAACTTCTTTCACGTTGTCATTATGGGGTATTTATAGAATGTTGAGGGAAAAAATGAATTTAATCAGTTTTGGAATAAGGATGTAACATAACAAAATGCAGCAAAACTTAAGCACTGTGAATACTTTTTGGATGCACTGTATATGGTGGACATGCCCTACGATTTCCCAATTTTGGTCAAAAACTCTCAATTACCGTATTTTTCGCTCCATAAGACGCACCTGACCATAAGACGCACCTAGGTTTTAGAGGCGAAAAACAAGAAAAAAAAATATTCTGAACCAATGGACTGCAGACACAGTACAGGGGATGACCAGAGACTGCGGACACAGTACAGGAGATGACCAGAGACTGCGGACACAGTGCAGGAGATGACCAGAGACTGCGGACACAGTACAGGACATGACCAGAGACTGCGGACGTAGTACAGGAGATGACCAGAGACTGCGGACACAGTACAGGAGATGACCAGAGACTGCGGACACAGTACAGGAGATGACCAGAGACTGTGGACAGTACAGGAGATGACCAGAGACTGCGGACACAGTGCAGGAGATGACCAGAGACTGCGGACACAGTGCAGGAGATGACCAGAGACTGCGGACACAGTGCAGGAGATGACCAGAGACTGCGGACACAGTGCAGGAGATGACCAGAGACTGCGGACACAGTGCAGGAGATGACCAGAGACTGCGGACACAGTGCAGGAGATGACCAGAGACTGCGGACACAGTGCAGGAGATGACCAGAGACTGCGGACACAGTGCAGGAGATGACCAGAGACTGCGGACACAGTGCAGGAGATGACCAGAGACTGCGGACACAGTGCAGGAGATGACCAGAGACTGCGGACACAGTGCAGGAGATGACCAGAGACTGCGGACACAGTGCAGGAGATGACCAGAGACTGCGGACACAGTGCAGGAGATGACCAGAGACTGCGGACACAGTGCAGGAGATGACCAGAGACTGCGGACATACTACAGGAGATGACCAGAGACTGCGGACATACTACAGGAGATGGTCAGAGACTGCGGACACAGTACAGGAGATGACCAGAGACTGCGGACACAGCACAGGAGATGACCAGAGACTGCGGACACAGCACAGGAGATGACCAGAGACTGCGGACATAATACAGGAGATGACCAGAAACTGCGGACACAGTACAGGAGATGGTCAGAGACTGCGGACACAGTGCAGGGGATGACCAGAGACTGCGGACACAGTGCAGGGGATGACCAGAGACTGCGGACACAGTGCAGGGATGACCAGAGACTGCGGACACAGTGCAGGGGATGACCAGAGACTGCGGACACAGTGCAGGGGATGACCAGAGACTGCGGACACAGTGCAGGAGATGACCAGAGACTGCGGACACAGTGCAGGAGATGACCAGAGACTGCGGACACAGTGCAGGAGATGACCAGAGACTGCGGACACAGTGCAGGAGATGACCAGAGACTGCGGACACAGTGCAGGAGATGACCAGAGACTGCGGACACAGTGCAGGAGATGACCAGAGACTGCGGACACAGTGCAGTAGATGACCAGAGACTGCGGACACAGTGCAGGAGATGACCAGAGACTGCGGACACAGTGCAGGAGATGACCAGAGACTGCGGACACAGTGCAGGAGATGACCAGAGACTGCGGACACAGTGCAGGAGATGACCAGAGACTGCGGACATACTACAGGAGATGGTCAGAGACTGCGGACACAGTACAGGAGATGACCAGAGACTGCGGACACAGCACAGGAGATGACCAGAGACTGCGGACACAGCACAGGAGATGACCAGAGACTGCGGACATAATACAGGAGATGACCAGAAACTGCGGACACAGTACAGGAGATGGTCAGAGACTGCGGACACAGTGCAGGGGATGACCAGAGACTGCGGACACAGTGCAGGGGATGACCAGAGACTGCGGACACAGTGCAGGGGATGACCAGAGACTGCGGACACAGTGCAGGGGATGACCAGAGACTGCGGACACAGTGCAGGGGATGACCAGAGACTGCGGACACAGTGCAGGGGATGACCAGAGACTGCGGACACAGTGCAGGGGATGACCAGAGACTGCGGACACAGTGCAGGGGATGACCAGAGACTGCGGACAGTGCAGGGGATGACCAGAGACTGCGGACAGTGCAGGGGATGACCAGAGACTGCGGACAGTGCAGGGGATGACCAGAGACTGCAGACAGTACAGGGGATGACCAGAGACTGCGGACATAGTACAGGAGATGACCAGAGACTGCAGACAGTGCAGGGAATGACCAGAGACTGCAGACAGTGCAGGGGATGACCAGAGACTGCTGACCTTTGGGGAGGGAGGGGGAGCGGGTACCTGAATTTGACAGGTACCCGCTCCCACTTCCGTGGAGTTGTCCTTCCCTCTTCTTCCCGGGCTGGCTTCTGTGACAGCCGGGTGCCCACTGCGCATGCGCGAGAAGCGCTGCACTTTGTGAATGGCCCGGCGCCTTCTGGGACCTGTCATGTGTCCCAGAAGATACCGGATCATTCACAAAGCGCAGCACATGCGCAGTGGGCACCCGGCTGTCACAGAAGCCAGCGCGGGAAGACTGTGCAGCGCTGGAGCGAGGAACAGGTAAGGCCCTGCAGGAGAGAACAGCTGAGCGACCGACCTGGTATTCTGACATGGTGGCCGCAAAAATACTGGACCGGCCGCTTTATATTCGCTCCATAAGACGCACTGACCTTTTCCCCCCTTTTTTGGGGGGAAAAAAGTGCGTCTTATGGAGCGAAAAATACGGTAAACTTCAATCATTACTCGCTTACCCCTTCCCGAGAGACCGTTGGTATACTCTCTTACACTTAAAACCTCCGGGTATGTCTAAACACAAATTTAAACTGGCCACTCACGCACTATTAGCGGCTAACCCCCTGGTCACATCAAGCCCAACTTTGAAATTGTGCGACTTACAGTGAAGTCTCACGATTTCAAAGTCGGTGAGATGCCGATTTCAGGTGCGATTTGCAAGACATCTGACACAGATGTCTATGCAAATCGCACCAAACGTAGTATATGTACTACTTTAGAAATCGGTGCAGCTTCCACCAAGTCGGAACCGCACCAATTTGACCGTTCTAATTGAGGACAATAGGGTGTGACTTGGATATAATTTGTAAGTCGCATGGCATGCAAAGTCGCACCTGATGTGACCGGGGTTTAAACAAACCATAGTGAATGCCTGGAAACAGCAGTTCATACCCTTCGCAGAAGTTCACCGCCACTTCGATTTCTTTTTAATAAATGAAAAACTGGCTAGTATACTCAGACACCCATGAGAGATTCCTTAAAACTTGGACCACATGGATCCAACACGCCCACCTGGAAATTTCAGCGAACAGCTTTACCTCACTATAACCCAACCACACTTCACAAACTGAACTCAAGCATTATGAACGTCCATCCTATACTCATCTACACTCTTCTCTTTCTCTCTTCTCTTTCTCTCTTCTCTTTTGATTTCTGTTTTTCGACTCTTCTGCATGGATGCCTTGAGAGCCACGAGATGTCTGTCCATCTCCTACTCTGTTAGCATTTTCAATATATCTCCACTGTTATAGCTTTTTCACTCATGTCGGACGTTGAACTGTATTCAAGCAAACTTCTAATGCACTACTTAACTGTCCAGCACGAAATGTTTGTTTTTTAGACAAGTTATCCAAATTGTTACCTAAAAAAAAAATAAAAAAAAAATTGAAAGACCAATAAACATTTATTGAAAAGAAAACATGGGACTCATGGATTCGCTACTTCTTGCTGGACTACTGAGGCTCAGGCAGAACCCGACTTACCGTTTTTATTTTTTTCCTACTTTTTATTTTTTATCCATTTATTTTCGGGAGGGCTCTTTGCCCACTCTATTTATATTTGCTACAATGAATACTGTTTGTAATGTGTTGGGAGATCTCATTGTCAGTTGTAAACTAGATTTGACCCCTAACAAGGGGTTAAAGGTCTGAAGGCTTGGGAAGTATGTTGTTCACTAATGCAATAAAAAAAATCTGCCACCCAGTTTGTCTCTCTAAGGCTTCTGGATGTTTGGCCAGCTCTCCTAGATGCCTTTCCTCTTGATGGCAGTGTTTTGGCATAAAAAAAAAACGCTTGACATTTGTAAACACATGTAATGTGTTTAGGTGCGTCAAGTGCTTGGGCATTAATTTATTTCATTGGGCAAAATAATTATTTATTTTGGCCATTGAAATGAATTAATGCTTAAGCAGTTAACATGCCTAGCGTTAACACACGTTTAAACTTGTTTACTTGCGTTTAGGAGCTTCAGGTGTTTTTCTGCCAAAACTCTGATGCTTCTGGATGCGATTGCACTGGTTTGGGGGTTTTTTTCCTACCTCCAAGCTCCTCAAAATGCCTGTGTGTTCCTGGACACATAGGCGAACAAGCAGGGGAGTGTAGTGGCAGAAAAAAAAGAAAAAAAATCACGCCAGACACCCAGAACAAAGTTAAATACAGCCAGTGTGCATGAGGCCTAATTGAGCTTTGAAACTGTTCACTGTAGCTTGCAAGCTACCAATAGAATGCTATGCATTAATATGCTTCAAAGAAGCAACTAGAAATATATTTTTAAATAGCATAACAAACCAAAAGACTGCAACACTTCCTACCTAGAAATGGATCACTATATCAAGTATATCAATACACAAAAACATGAACACTTTTCACCTTCTCTATGCGACTGCCATAGATCGTGTTTTATAAAGAAGATTAAAAGTGGAGCCTACATTCAGTGCATAAGAAAAAAAATGTCTATTTGTGTAACACAGCCATAAAAACAGTCAAGGTCAATCAGAACACTAAAATATATGTTCAATCAATGTTAATTTCCAGGATTCACAGAAGTAATATTTGTACAGCATATGGTAAACCTTGCCTACACATCTCAGTTCATATTGTGGCTCTATAACATACTAAACCTGAGCAAAAACTGTAAGCATAAGGAAAGTATTTTGCAAAAAAAATAAAAAAAAATACAATCCGGATGGATTGATACAACAGTGAAAAAATCTTGGTCTGCAGCCCACAAAAAAAAAATATTTATCCACTCTTAAAAAGTGTTATAATACACTGATTGAATGGCAAAAATGACAGGGCGGTTGTATAGAAGCCGTTTGGTAGATAGACTTCCCAAAAACCATTTTGTTCCTATGTGGATCAAAATTCAACTGGTTCAGCATCCATGTATGGCTGGCTAAAGAAAGTGTCTTAAATACACAAGTGATTCCTCTAAACACAGTAATCAGTCTGCAAATAAACAACTTGATAGCCAAGCCAGGCTAAAGCCGGCAATAGACAAGGCAAAAACCAAATGTTCTCTCAATCAAAAAATGAAAATGGGCATACAATTGTGCCATCATTTTGTTTGTCAAAAAAAAATCCAGCATGTTGTGCCAGGCACTGTCGATTGCAGTGTGAAAATCGCATGTCACACCTGGCACATGTTGCGAAAAACAATTGACAAGAATTTTCGTTTAGTTTTTAACTTGTTTATGGCCTAATTTACACAGTATATGATGGCTTCTGTAAGTAGATAAAAATTCATGCAGAATAAAATATATATATATATTTTTTTTTTATTAAAAAGAATAAGGTACAAAACAAAGCCTATAGGGCATACCCAGGCTTGAAGAATCGATAAAAAGCATAGAACTAAAACATAATTCTTATGGCAACCAGTGCCAACCGGCACTCTAGTTCCGTTTTTCAGTTTCCAACACTCCACAGCACTACATGAGGTATTGAAAATTAAGACAGAAGCAAAACAAAATACAAATTATGGGGGTAACGTCGATGGAAGCCACTAAATCTTTGGATTCCATCCAGATATCCCATATTTTAGAGAATTTGTGCGAACAACCCCTTGATTCATATACAATCTTATACAATGACAGCCTTTTATTGACAAATTGTTTTCAAAAATCAGATGTAGGGGCTTGTGGGGATTTCCATTTAATAAAAATCACTTTATGTGCATAGAAGAGCAGCAAGCCCTGAAAAGTTCTCTTGGCTTTAGAGATGGCTAATAGATGGACCAAACCTAACATGCATACATCCACCTTTACGGGTATAGAGATGGCCGGCACAGACCGGATACATTGAGTTCCAATCGGAAAGATCTAATCACTAGACAATCCCAAAACATATGTATGACCATCGCCGGATCCTCCGGGCAACACCAGAACTTGGCAGGATGTGAGGGATAAATCCTATGCAGCTTTTGGGGGGTGAAATTAATCCTATGTAGAATTTTAAATTGAACTAAACGATCTTGAGTAGAGACCAATTATTTCATGGGATAGTGCCAAATGTCCTCCTAATCTTCCGAATCTAGTAAAGGCACCTCCTCTCGCCAGCTGGACAGCAGCTTATCAAGGCCTTCATGAACCGTAGGCTGAAGAATTTTGTATATATTAGACAGTTTTCGCTAAGGCTTTGTCATGCAATAGGGATTCAATACCAGACATCACAAATGACACAGGCTGACTGCGAAACTGCATCTGGAAAGCATGGTAAAGTTGGAGGTACCTGAAAAAATATGAATTAGGGAGAGCAAACCTTTTTAGGGAATCAAAAGTTTGAAGAGTACCTTTTACACAGATTTGAGGAAGATATTTGATCCCTTTAGATGCCCACACATTGGGGTCTGGAAATAGGAAAAACTCTGAGGATTCAGCCACAAAGGCGTGTGGGGCAACCATTGGTTGGAGATAACGGGATGATACAATTTCCATGCCCTAATGATAGATTTCATGGATCCTGTAATGGGGTAAAGGGCCGAAATGCCTCTATACAACAAATTTTTCAAGGCCTCATAAGATCCGAGATATGCAGCCTCCAGCACTACTGCAGTTCGAGCTTGTTCTAGTCAGCCACTATCCAGTTGTGGGCATGAGTAAGCAAAGCAACAATATAGTATGTATATAGACTAGGGCAAACCAACCCCCCTTGCATCCAGGGTCACTGGAGATTAGCCAGTTGGAACCTAGGATGACCAGAGCCCCATAAAATGGAGGACATGGCAGAATCAAAGTGCTTGAAGATTTTTCTTGGGATCCACACCGGGCATGGAGAAGAATGTACAAAAATGAGGGAAGCAACTTCATTTTAAGAAGATCGATCTTACCTATAAGTGAGAGGGGAAGGTGTGCCCATGCTAGTATTCCTTGCTTTGCACTCCGTAGTAAAGGTAACAAGGTCAATGAACATTATTCGGAGACTTTCAGAGAAACCACCACCCCTAAGTATTTAGC